ATTATTGCATGTTTTAGGAACAAGGGTTAGATGAAACGATAGCAGCAGAGGACTTCGCAATTCCCCCACTGGAAGCTACGTTGCCCCAGAGATCTCGGAAGACCCGGTAGTTGAAGAGAAAGAAGATAGGGTTGCATCATCAGTTTTGATAAAAAGAGTGAATGTAACATCAAAAAAAGTTCCCTTGGCGAAAAAAGTTTTGATTACGCCAAGGCGAAGACCAAATGCTTCGCAAAAGGCTGCAGAAGCTATGGTAGATGGGGCACAGGCAAGAAAAGCAGCCATTGAAAGTGAAGCTCTTCTTCGTAAAGAAGAGCATCAGGCGAAGATGGAGAGAGACGCTAAAGAGCACGAGCTCAAGATGGACATTTTAAAAAAAGAACATGAATTGAAAATGAAAATAGAATTTGCAAAGTTGCGAAATGAAGAACAGAAATATAGAATGCTCGTTGCTAAAGAGGAATATTTTAAAAGTTTAAAACCTAACCAATCTTAATGTAAATAAAATGTAATGTAAAAACAAATATATATTTAATTCATATTGTATTTCTTCTTATTTCCTTTAAAACATGAGATGCTTAACTTGTATTGTGATCAAATAGAAATTCTTTACTCAATTTATCTTACTCATAACTCTTTAACACTAATTAATAAAACACTTTAGTACAATAAATAAACAGAATTAAATAATAAAGAAATTAAACAATTTATTTACAGTTATTAATAAAACACTTAAGTACAATAAATAAACAGAATTAAATAATAAGGAAATTAAAGAAACAATTTATTTACAGTAATTAAAAAAACACTTTAGTACAATAAATAAACAGCATTAAATAATAAAAAAATTAAAGAAACAATTTATTTACAGTATGAGTATAAGAAGCTTATAAATAAACATTACATTTTATTAAAAATTAATTTTCGATAAAGCAAACAATTGAATTTCTTGAAGATGATGAAAGAGGGGAAATATAAGTCCCAACTGTAACAAATAATGATCTAGAAGAGTTAGATGAAATAGACTTTCTTAAAAGATATCGTTTCTTAAAACCAACGATTGAGGAACTGATCTCCAAAATTGGCAGTAAGTTGGAATCTGATACAGACCGGAACAATGCTTTAACTCCAAAGGAAAAAGTTTTAATTGTTGTAAGATGTTATGCATTTGAAAACCAGCAAATTAATTTGAAAGATATAGTTTACATGTATATATAGAAAAAATATTAGTTAAAAAAATTTGTAACAATTGTATTTCGTTTGGTGATTCCAGCCAATTGATGCGTATTATTTCTGACATCGTCGTCACTAACACTTTTTTTCTCTTCAATATGGTCACCCATCGTCAGAGCTAAGTTATGAAGGACAGCAGTGGCGACAATGATTTTTTGCACATTCTGTAACTTACACCTAAAAGGTACGTCCAGACAGGCAAATCTCCGCTTCCAAATACCATACTGACGTTCTACAACATTGCGGGCTCTTGCATGCGTAGAATTATATCTGTAAGGAAAAACGCTATATGAGAAAATAATTTACTTCTTTATTAACCAGCTAATTCTATTTACATCCTATACTTTACTAACAAAATTTAATATATGCAATTTTTAATATACATGTAGCATGAAGTTTGTTGTAAATTGGAATCTTTTCAAAAACATTCCTTTTACAAAAGTCCGATTTGTAAAATGGTGATTTCATAAAATCAAATTCTGAAAAGCTGTCCTTTTACAAATTTTAATTTATAAAAGTTTTAGTATTTTATCTAACTACTACACATACTTGTTTTTTAATATTAAACATAAAATATAATTGTTAAAATCAAATGTTTTACATGCTTAAGAAATTTTTGCAAATTTTCTTTTACGATTTAAATAAAAGGACATAATAGGAAAAAGAACATGTTACTCATAAGAAAATAAAACAATTATTAACAACTAGCCGCCTAAGGCGGCCAGCTGCCCCCCAAGCTAAAAGTTTTCACAAATAAAGTATTTTAAAACATAGCAGGAAATCTGAAGATTAGTGGACAATTAAAGTGTTCCTGTCATGGAATTTTGTCTTCATATCCAGATGAACAGCGACAAATATATCAAAGCGAAGCATTCTATTTACGTATCGAATATGTTTAATACAAAAGTTAAACTTTTCTCCACTGTGATAAATGTAAACTAATGAAGACCTTACAATTAAATTATTAATGTCTTCGTATATTATTGATTTAAGTCGTCGAAAATTAATATTTCAATTGTAAGGTTCGCATTAGCATACATTAATAAGAGCATACATTCCTGAAACCCTTTCTTCTTTCAAATTTTTTTTTTTTAAAACTAGACAAGAGAAAAGAAGGGTGTATGCCATCTAAACTACTAAAATTTAAGTTTTTTAGACAATGTTTGAGAAAAAGAACTTGTCAAAAACAATTCAGAAAACCTGACATTTACATTCTTAAGTTGCACATGTAAAGAAAAATTAAATCATGCATAAACTGGTCAATCAAACATATGCTTGTATCATTACATTGTTTTGATTATTTTATCATTACATTGTTTTGATTATAATTATAAATGATGAAACACAAAGAATAATGATTTATTTAAAAGAGAATATTAACACTACATATGGTATCATCAATGTGACTACGTTTCACGAATCAGGTTCTCAAAGTTTAAACTTTTCCCTTGCGAAAAAGAACCTCATTGGGGTAAAGTAATTGCATCTGCGATGCTGCATGCACTTTAGAAACTGTTTGCGATTAAAAAAACTTTTTATAAAAATATTTTTAGTTATTGAATTCAAGCTGATTATCTTTGTTAATACGAATGACTACCGAATAATTCATGAATTTTCTTAATTACACAATTTAAGATTTCACAAATTTATTAATTTCAGCAACAAAATGTTATTTTTTAACTAATTAGTCTAATATTATAATTAACAAATATATCATAAGCATACAAGCTAATACCTGACTTGATTTGCTCCAGTTGGGTGCAAAAAAGGTGTCATCAAATATGGCCTTAATGGATAGCCACTATCCCCCAGAACATGGTATTTGAATGGTACTTCAGTCTCCAAGTGTGCACGCAAATATGAATGGTCGAAGACAGTACTATCATGAGTACTTCCGGGCCACCTTGTTACAATATTTCGAATGAAGAGATCTGAATCTGCCAATGATTGAACGTTCAATGCAAAAATTTTTTTTCTTGAGCGGAAGGTTTCGGCTTGTGGCCCTCCAGGCTTTAAAATAGGAATTAGGGTACAGTCCAACGCCCCATACACAGACGGGAATCCAAACTTGCTATAAAATGATCGGCTTACCTAAAAAAAAATTCATGAGGTTAGACAATTCTTTAGTTATTGCCACAAGTAGCATGTACTTTAGGATTGACCAAAACACTTTTATGAATTAAAGGCGCAAAAAGTTTTAATATGTTTAATTACTTTTTAGCCATAATTGTAATATTTTTTGCCACATCCTAATATGCATGCTTTAAATTAACTCAATAAATTTTTACGTTTTATTAAGTAACTGTTTGTAAAGTAATTTTTTAATGTACTTAAAAAAATCCTAAATAAATTTTGTTAATAAATTTATTAAATTGGACACATACTTATTAAAAAAAAACCTTAGTTATTTTAAAATAAAAATTAGGTATAAAATATTGGAAGTATGTTGAACTCCCAAAGCTTTGTTGGAACCAGAATAAGGTGAAAAATTGAACCATGCCTTATAAATAAGAATTAAACTGTTTAATAGTAAAATAATAATATAATAAAAGTTTAACAAGCATGATTACTTGGCTAAATTTAACATCATTCTTATATCTGTGATAAAACATAGCATAAATCAACAAGCTTTAAAATTTCTATCAATATATCGCATAATTTATAAATAAGTAATTTCAAATATATTTTCTTTCTTCTATTTATATTCAGTTTTTGTAATTAAAAATAACAATGTACATTATAGTAATATTTTAAAATATTATGTCTCACTCTTTTTTAAAATACAATAATATTGGTAAAGATGTGTGTATATAATCTGTCAAAAACAGAAGTGAAAGAAATTATCTACTGGTGAAATAGTTTTAATGTAATGTAAACATTGTTTATGTTTGTATCAAATAAAAAAGACAACAGAAAAAAAATAACTAATATAAAATAATTAAATAATAATACTGAAAAACTTACCTCCATTCTTTCTGCTTCTGATTGAGGTAAATAAATGTATTGTGGCCTCAATTCCGCTAAACATTGGGATACCTCGCTAATAATTCTGCTGACTGAAGGTTGGCTCATTTTTTGAGTATCTCCCAAATTAATTTGCTGGTTTCCAAATGCATAAAATCTTACAGCAGTTAAAACTTTTTCCGTCGGAGTTAAAGCATTGTTCCTATCTGTATCAGATTCCAACTTACTGCCAATTTTGGAGATCAGTTCTTCAATCGTTAACGATATCTTTCAAAAAAGTCTATTTCATCTAACTCTTCTAGGTCATTATTTCTAGTTGGGACATATCTTTCCCTTCTTTCAACAGTTTCAAGATCTTCAAGCTCAAAGGCAGCGATAGAAGCCTCCATCTTTTTTGTTTACAAGCTCCTCGTGAATAGGTTACCCTCCGATAACTCGGCGAAAACGGAGGGTTACCAGGAGAGTCAGAACTGTCGATGAAATCTGCGAGTTTGGCGAAATTTCGGCTGGAGAATAACGTTTCGCACTAAACTCGTGATTTTACTCTTACCCATAGATTACCCGGAGGTAATCCGTGTTGGTGAATACGGGCGTTAGTGGTTCGAGCCAAAGCTGTAGCATTACTAAAGCCTCATTTCATTTCTAATAATTTATAATGTTTTTGTTTCTCAGTATTCGAAATGATTTTTAAAATAAGATTTTTAGAAAAATGTTGTGCGTTTTTTGTAGCATTATATTTAAGAGATGCTGCAATTGTCCATTAAGAAAAAAAAGTTTGCTAGATAAAAATCAGATTTTTTCATAAATTAATGAATACAAATATAATTGTTAGTTACAGCAATTGGTAAAATACCATAAAATAAATAAATGTAGAGTTTATTTAAGAATTTAAAAACATGAGAAATCAATTCGATAAAATTTTATTGCATATTTTAAAAAGCATTTTTAGCACAAAATGGTATTAAAGAAAACAAAACAGATATAAAAACCCTTTATAATATATACCTGGAACAAAATAGTTTTGAAACTTCAGGATTTGTTACATAAAAATCAGTACTGAGTTTAATGAAAGCCATCACCAAATAATATCTTCTATCATACAGCAGATACAAAGAAAATCGCAGACTCTACACAACACTTTTTCCAAGAATCTGAAACAAAAATTACACACAAACTTAAATTTAAGGACATTTTAAAAATAAAATCATTATGAAAAATATCATAGCAACTACTAATTATGTATTAGATAAAACTACAGTCAAAAAGTTGGGGTTACGACAAAATCTTAAGTCAGAGGGTAACAGGGTAAGCTTAATATCTAGGTTTTTTCTATAATAAAAAGTAAATTAAATCAACAAAAGGGCCTGCGTTCACTCCGTTGTCAGGCATGAGGCAGCAAGTTCGGATGTGAAGGCAGCTGAGAATTATCTCAAAACTTTTTCCGAACTGATAGAAGCCAATAGATACATCCCCCAGCAAGTCTTCAACTGTGACGAAACAGGGTTTTTCTGGAAGAAAATGCCGAATAGGACTTACATAACGGAGAAGATAAAGCCAGGGCACAAACACATGAAGGATAGACTAACTCTCGTACTGTGCGCCAATGCCATTGGCGACTGCAAGATAAAGCCTCTGCTTGTGTACCATTCAGAAAACCCCAAAGCCTTTAAGTCACATAAGATTTTAAAAGAAAAACTGCAAGTTACGTGGAGGGTAAATCCGAAGGCATGGGTGAATTACTAACAGCCGAGTTCAATTCAAGAGCAACTCGGGGATCGGAATATCCACGGTTAAGAGTTACTCTTGGATTAACCCTCGCTTTTTATTCTCCAACCGTTTTCAACAAAGGATTTCACAACTCGAGCTTAACACTTGCAGGAAATATAACGGGGCATTTGATTGGGCAAGGTAAAACCATGTGACTTTGTATATAATATAAACACGTGCATAAACAAATTAGCATGAGTATCGCATATTAGCGTGAGTTTTCGAATTTTATCTTAGTAATAATGTCGTTATCAAAGAAATTTGTTTTCAGCGACCACGAATCGGAGATAGTGAGTAATTTAATAGACAATTACAAGCATATAATTGCTTGCAAAATAACAAATGCTCACTTTAATAGTAAAAAGAAGAAGTGTGGGAAAAATTAACTACTGAATTCAATGCAATTAATGGAGTTAGAAAAAGAACAAAAATACAACTCCAAAATAAATATAAAAATATGAAGAAAATGGCACAAAAAAACAAAGCTGCCGATAAAGTAGAGCTGTACAAAACAGGAGGAGGTGGCAGTATGCTGAAAACCACTCCTATGGATGAAAAATTTTTAGCCATAGGAATTGTAACCAACCCATTAGAAGAAGATATTGATTGTGATTCTGAGTACAATAACTTCATAAAAGATTCTCAAGGTATGTTTCACTTTTAAAAATACTTTTAGTTATAATATATTCCAATGTTTACTAATAGATAAATTAAACTATCAATGTTTGATTTTACGAATATTAACTCTAATCATGATTTTTTTTTATATTTATGAATAAAATACTATATTAATATATTAAAAATAATATCAAGAAAAGAATTTTATAATATAGAAAACTAACACTAATTTTTAATAATCAATATCTGAAGTTTAATTTTGGAAGTTCAATCAGTTTTAAATTTTTTTATTTCACAAAAAACAGAAAATACACACAAAATTTTTGTTTATTTTTTATGATAAACCTCTTACTTATACTGATTTGTAATTTTTTCTAAATGCACATGTAACAATTTTTTAATGTTAAATTTTTAAAAAGATTTTAAATACTGTGTCCCGAGTTAGAGTAGGTTGGTCCATCTCATGGGGTACATTGGATCATGTAACAAAAATGTATTCAGATACAACATTGAAAGATAAATGTTAGGTGATACAGTACTTTCATTATATTCTTTTTAGTTTAAAATTAAAAAACAATATTTAAAGTTTAATAAAATACACGTCTTCAAATATAAAGCTAATAATTCATATTGCACACTATTGCTTATTGAATTTTACTAAAAAATATTTTCTTTTTAGCACTAATACTTTCATAAGAAAATAAGACATAATAGTTAAAATAATTTATTGCTGATGTAAAGTAATCAAAACATTTTAACCAATAGCTGTGTATTGAAATGCCTGATATTTCCTTGTGTAATTTGCATTGTTAAAAAAAAATTTTAATGACTTTTTGACTTCTAAAAAAACATAAATGTAATGCACATTATTAACATAAATGCAATTATTTTTAATGGTCCAACCTACCCCAGGGTTTTAGTGGACCATTGTACCCAGAGTTCTGTATTTCACAAGAAGTTGCTATGACTTCTCTTCCAACATTTATATTCGAACAGCTGCAAGCAATTATGAAAATAAATATCGAACCTAAATAATATCTATTATAGAAAATTTTAAAAGATTAAGATTATCCAAGGTGCCATGTTTAAACAAACGAGACCAGAATATAATGTAATTATAATTTTAGTTTTATGGACTTAGGATGGAAAAAATGTGCAGAATCAGATTTTTTAGTTACACTTTAATCAAGAAACTATATTAAATATTATTTCGTAATAAAATTTATCAATTGCATACTATAAATTTATGCTTTTATATTTTCAGCACAAAAGGAAAATTCTTCAGAGGCCATTACTTTTGAGTATAACAGAACAGAAGATGTGATTGACAGTGAAGAATATTTTCCTGTAATTATTATTTTTTTATTCTTATTTTGCTGTTAGCGTTCACTTTCTTTCATCAATATAAAGCCAGATCAAGAGCAAAAATAATAAAAACATCTAACCTGCTTATTCAGATATTTTATCAAAGCTTAACAAAACATAAATAATTTTCAGATTATATATATACATGCAAGGCTTGTTTAACCGATTCTAACTTCTACGCTAAAATAACAATTCTTACTTTTTCTATTTTATTTGGATAGAGGTTAATTAAAATTAAATGTATTAAAAAAAAGCCTTTGACCTGCTCATGTTATAGTATACTAAAGTTATGCCAAGAACTTTTGATTTATTTTATTGTCGTTTAACAGTTTGTTTGCAAAAATGTTAAACAGTTCAGATTGAAATTGTTGATTAGTTTTTATCGTTTTTTAAAATATTATAAATTTAAAAGAAGACTCGATTTTAATTATTTCAGCAAATATTTATAATAATAACAGATTAAGATATGCTTTTATTACGTATTGTATACAACTATTATTAATTTTAAAAATGAAATATTTTTTGATAATCATTATAAGATTCCATAATTTATAATGTTTATTAAATGTTCCAATATTTTCATAAGTTTATGCAAAACACGAGTTTTAAACAAAACTCATTTTTATCAAAACACACAAATAAGTATTTGTTATAAAATTTGATTATTGCATGTTTTAGGAACAAGGGTTAAATGAAACCATAGCAGCAGAGAAGGACTTTGCAACTCCCCCCACGTTGCCCCAGAGATTTCGGAAGACCCCTTAGATGAAGAGGAAGAAGATAGGGTTGCGCCAGCAGTTTTGAGAAAAAGAGTGAATGTGACATCAAAAAAAAATTCCTTTGGCGAAAAAAGTTTTGATTACGTCAAGGCGAAGACCAAATGCTTCTCAAAAGGCTGCAGAAGCTATGGTAGATGGAGCACAGGCAAGGAAAGCAGCCATTGAAAGTGAAGCTCTTCTTCGTAAAGAAGAGCATCAGGCGAAGATGGAGAGGGACGCAAAAGAGCATGAGCTCAAGATGGACATTTTAAAAAAAGAACATGAATTGAAAATGCAAACAGAATTTGCAAAGTTGCGGAAAGAAAAACAAAAATATAGAATGCTCGTTGCAAAAGAAGAATATTTTAAAAGTTTAAAACCAAACCAATCTTAATGTAAAGAAAATGTAATGTAAAAACAAATATATATTTAATTCATATTGTATTTCTTCTTATTTCCTTTAAAACATGAGATGCTTAACTTGTATTGTGATCGAATAGAAATTCTTTACTCAATTTATCTTACTCATAACTCTTTAACACTAATTAATAAAACACTTTAATTTTTTTATTATTTAATTCTGTTTATTTATTGTACTAAAGAAACAATTTATTTACAGTATGAGTATAAGAAGTTTATAGATAAACATTACATTTTATTAAAAATTATTTTTAGATAATTGAATTTCTTGAAGATGATGAAAGAAAGGAAATATAAGTCCCAACTGTAACAAATAATAATCTAGAAGAGTTTAATGAATCAGATTTTTTTTTTATAAGATATCGTTTACATGTAATATATAAAAAATATTAGTTAAAAAAATTTGTAACAATTGTATTTCCTTTGGCGATTCCAGCCAATTGACGCGTATTATTTATGACATCGTCGTCACTAACAGTTTTTTTCTCTCCAATATGGTCACCCATCGTCAGAGCCAAGTTATGAAGGACACCAGTAGCGACAATGATTTTTTGCACATTCTGCAACTTACACCTAAAAGGTGCGTCCAGACAGGCAAATCTCCGCTTCCAAATACCATATTGACGTTCTTCTACATTGCGGGCACTTGCATGCGTAGAATTATATCTGTAAGGAAAAACCCCCTGAGGGGGTTTACTTTCTTTAGGTAAACACAGGGAGTCACGCCCCGGGGTACCCTAGTGATCTATCCTCCCTTCCGTTTCCTCTCCCTTTTCTCCTACTTTCTCATTTCTCTTCCCCCTTGTCGTGGTTGCCGAATTTACTGGTAAGGGCTTGTCATCTGTGTTCGATTACCACCCTGTTGTGTTGAACCCAGATGGGAAGAGACCACCCGCGTGTATGCCGAGCGTGGAGACCCGTGTCCCTGGAAAAGGGGATCCTGGAAGTTGAGGGGCGTCTTGGTACCCCAATACACTGCTTTGGCCCTTGCTTCAGGTAAACGGGAGGTGCATATCGGCCTGTGTGCATCAATCGGCTGGTCACAATCGTCCGGGGTCACTTACTGGGCACCTCGTTAAGGGTGGAGGCTGCTTCAGGGGTGACTCGTGGACGTATAGCTATTAGTTAGCATAGGTGTTAAGTGACAAATTTTTCTTACTTGCATCCCCTTTGTAGGACTCCGTGGTGGGTGATGCCGCTGGTAGTAGAACTGTTTTTTATTTTCTATGGCTGAAGATAGTATGGTGTTGAGTTCCGCACACCAATGCAAAAACAGCGGAACAACTCTTACACCTCATGTATACGCTCGTTATTTCATAATAACATTGACGAATCCTGTCCTACCAAACACATCATTTTCTAAAGTTTCACCATTCTTAATACACAAAGCTCTTCTCTCCGCACTGGGAGAAGTAGCCTCTGTGAGAAAACTACGTTCTGGCGACCTTTTAGTGCAGACGACATCTGAAAAACAAGCCACTGCCCTATCTAAGTGTACAAATATATGTACTTTTAATGTAACTGTCACTCCACACAAATCGCTGAATACCTGTCGTGGAGTAATCTCCCAAGCGGAATTCATAGAAGACGAAGAAAATACGATCTTAGAAAACCTGCAAGACCAGCATGTTGTTGAGGTCCGTAGGATTAAGATTCGAAGGAATGGACAACTCATTCCAACGAAACATCTTATCCTTACATTTGCCTCTCCAACGTTACCATCTGCTGTTAAACTTGCATGGTATAATTGCCCAGTTAGACCCTATATCCCAAATCCTTTGAGGTGCTTTCAGTGCCAAAGGTTTGGGCATTCAAAAGCATCTTGCCGTGGTACACCTGTTTGTGCTCGCTGCTCTACTCCAGGCCATTCAGACACTTCTTGTGAGTTACAACCCCTTTGTATTAACTGCAAGGGAGCTCATGAAGCTTACTCAAGGAGTTGTCCTAGATGGTCAGAGGAGAAAGAAATTCAATCAGTTAAAGTAATGCAGAACCTAACCTTTAGTGAAGCCCGTCGAATCGTTACCGCCCGTACACCCCGTCCGGGCGTTTCGTATTCTACGGTTACTAAGACTTCATATTGTACTATAGGTACTCAAACTGATTCCCCGGCACAAACATCTTCTAAAAATAAGCAGATTAAACCACCAACTCCAAAACCTAACTTTAACTTTACCGCAGCATCAACATCTAATAGGACCACCTCACCTCCACCTAGTAAAACATCTAAAATAGACAATTCCGAAAAGGCCCGACCTTTTCCAAAACAAATACCTTTAAAAAAATTACCCCCAAGTCAAAAGCCTGGCTATTCCAGGAAGAAAAAAGATGCAAAGTACATTCAACTTGCCAATCAATCCACTTCTTCTGCTTTACAGAAGATGGATTGTGAGGTAGAATTGTCTTTGCATCCTTCTGACGACGAATGCCTACTCGATTGACCTCTGGATAATGACGTTAACTTTCAATCATCTTTTCTTATTCCATAATGTCCATATGTTTCATATCATGGAACTGTCGCGGTTTGCGAAATAAGGTCTCTGATGTCAAGGACATTATTTCAAAATATCAACCTGCATGCATTGCCTTGCAGGAGACACATTTAACGTCATCCAATGCTTTTAAACTGCGCAACTATTCTTGCTATCGACAGGATTTTAATGATGGAAATCAACCTCATGGCGGCGTAGCAATTTTAACTTCATCAGCTTTTCCATCAACTCACCTTTCATTATCAACCTCATTACAAGCTACCATAGTTCAAATTCACATCAATGTTCTCATTACAGTCTGCTCTGTCTATCTACCCCCTCATGCATCCATTTCTCAAACAGATTTGAACTCACTGATACTTCAATTACCTTCGCCTTTTATTTTGCTCGGAGATTTTAATGGTCATAGTGAATTATGGGGTAGTTCCGCCTCCAATGACCGGGGGCGTAAAATTGAACAACTCATCCACGACCATAATCTCTGTTTGCTTAATAAAGACGAAGAAACTTACTTTCATTCACCTACTCAAACCTTTCATTCAATTGATCTAGCAGTATGTTCACCTGCTATCTTACCTTTTATAAACTTCTCTGTGAGTGATAATCTTCACAACAGTGACCATTTTCCTCTCATTGTTTCATATTTTACTTCTGTTCCCATGAGTTCACGACCATCAACTTTCATATTTCATCGCGCTAACTGGCCTCTATTTACAATGCTTGCTCAGATTACGGAGGATATGATAACTCGCAATACTATAGGTGCTGCTATTAATAATATAACGTCTGTAATTCTCCAAGCGGCAGAAGAAAGTATTCCTAAGTCGTCAAGTTCGCTTCCTCGCCACCGCAAGCCGTGGTGGAATAAGGAATGCGCAGCTGCCTACAAAGAGCAGAGGCGTTTGTGGAACATCTTCCGCCGTTATCCTAATACTGTTAACCTTTTGGCCTTTAAACGGGCAAAAGCTATAGCACGAAAGATCAGACGCAAAAGTCAAAGAGAATCTTGGTCCCGTTATGTCTCGTCCATAACATCTTCGACATCTTCCAGACAAGTCTGGTCGAGAGTTAAGAGAGCTAATGGCATATATCGCGAATTTCGACTTCCGATATTTAAGAAAAACGATACCATGTATTCTTCTCCTGCAGACGTTTGTAATATGCTTGGTGATGCATTTGCTGCTGTCTCTTGTCCAGAGAGTTACAGCCCAGCATTTCAACACCATAAGCAGACCGTCGAAAGGAATAATATAAACTTTGCATCGCGTCGTCTCTGCCAATATAACAGTTATTTTAGTTTTGCCGAATTACAGAGAGCCCTATATCGAAGTAAAAACACAAGTGTTATTAATTTTAAAAATGAAATATTTTTTGATAATCATTATAAGATTCCATAATTTATAATGTTAATTAAATGTTCCAATATAAGGTTACATGGTTATCTTTGGATAAAGATGATTAGCAAATAGCATCCTCATGTTTCGATACATTCTGAAACTTACGTTCGCAAATTCACCATAAAATGTCACGCAGCATATTCTTCAATTATGATATGCTACATTTACCACCAAATACTGTTACTATGATTATTTTTGTTTTCTCATATATATCTGATACTCTCTTTTAAAACAGAGCTCTTAAGATAATGAAATGGAGGCACGAAAACTTAAAATATTCAATGTCAATAACTCAAAATATCTGGTCTCAAAATTTTAATTTAAATATAACTTTTACAATATTGATGCTCTTACGTTTTTAAAGACCACATGAAAACTCGACATTCCTTGAATAAAAATTTTTTTTATTCAATAAAATGTTTTATTTGAATTTCTTTACTAAATATCAAATAGACTTTTAGACGACTGAAAAGAAACAACGTATTTTATAGTTTAAAAAAAAAATTAGCAAACGATTATTAGCGAAAAAAATATGAATGAAATTTTTCGCTACTCGCGCGAAGTCAAGTTCCTTGCAAGTTTATCACCTTTTAATATTAATCGCCACATTTAATTATTTCTTTATTGTCGCCAAATTATTTTCTTCAAAATAATTAATTTTTCTCAGCTTCTACTAAATAAAAACAGTTGAAAATTTAAATTGTTCAATTGAAAAATATGTAGATTAGTATGGTATTTAAAAATTCTTACCTTATAATTCCAAAATTTTTCATCCTTAATTTAATTAAATAATAAAAAATAATTATTAAAAACTATTTTTTTTCAGAAATTATCTTTGCGAAAATTAGTTTTATGGGTAGGTGCAATTTTTTTGAATTACTTAATTAGTTTTTAAAATATGACTAAAAACGCAAAAAGTGAAATTAACATTAAGGGGTCAAAACTTTGAATCGCTCTCCTGACCACACTATGGAGACCAAATTTCGGTTAATCCCTACATTTTGAAGATTAAGAATCCAAATATGTAACAAAAAATATATGTTTATTCACAGAAAGTACGTTTTTGTGTCCGATTTCGTAACTTAATTAATAGTTAACACTAATAAATCAGCATATTTGAGGTCACCCCCAGGAACCATTGACACCTAGTTCAAGAAAATCCGATCATTAGAACGAAAGTTATTCAGGGTGATATCTTTTCTTTTTGCGGACTGTACAACCATCGAAATGGCAATTAAAATTATCTCTATTCTTGAAGCTTTGCATTTATCGCTTTCTTAATTTGTTTGTCTCGTTTTAGAAATGGACTTACATGAGTTACGCCAGCGGAAATTTTTTGAACATGACAAACAATCGATTGGAATGTATAAATGGGAAGTTAAAGACTGTAATAAGGAAGTTTAGCTCTTTCTCGGCCTTCATAAAATGTTTGTTCTCGATTATATATTCAATGAGAAAGGAGCGATATCATGCTACAGCTACTGCTGTATTGAAGGTACCATCTTTAAAATTTCCGATTGGAAATGCCGAAGAGCTGCAACACCAAATTTTAAATCCATATCCTTTTAACATGCTCCTAAAACAAATGACAAGTCTAACGATAAACTACCCTGCAGACACATACTATCAGTCCGAAGGAAGTTTTCAATCAGTACATTTGATCAGACTTTGTGTGACAAGAGGTGGCTAAGAAGTCATCTCGAATCTGTACACAGAGTGTTTAGTAACAGTTGCATAGATTTTGAGAACTCTTATACTGAAGCAGAAAAAACCAATAGTGTTTCAAAAACCACCACTGCGAGATCCTCTCATCTTTTAACCTTAATGTAAAAAGTTGCGGCTGCTGCCGCTGAGTCCACTGGAAGTGAGTTTCTGGTGAAAGAAGATTCTTTAAAACTCTTGCTCAAGTAAGATTTACTTTACTTTACCTTTTTAAGAAGAGAAAAAGTGGTACAGAAATTATGTTTTATCATATTTACAATAACATGTGTTGATCTAATTTTTACATTTGATTTTCTGTGGGGAATAATAATGAGGTAGTCATTCGAGGCAAAAGATTCGTTATGATAAATTATTATAATGCTGTAATGTAAAGGTTTTTATTCCTCTCTTAATTGCATATTTAGAAATTTGTCTTATTTGCTTATTTTAGCTTGTGGGAAAAAGGTCAAAAGGTTACTTTAAGTGTAGCTGAACCAATAAAGAATGTAGAAACTGCTTTAATTGATCATAATTATGGATGTTCAGCTGTAGATGACGCTCAGTTAGCTTCTAGTTCAGCTGTGAGGGACATAGGGTAAGATAACTTATAGAATTTCAAAATCTGAATGTTCCAGTACTATAGGATTGTTTGAAGTTTAGCAAAAAAGTATCTTAGTCAGGACAAACATTGAAGGGCTGTGTTTTTTTTCTTTTTTTTTGTACTGTTCTGTAAAATTATGCTACATGTTTTTGTATAGTTTGGAAATACTTTGGTACTAATAACTTTAAGTGAACAGAGGTTATTTAATTTCTCTCTTATTTAATAGGACCCGATTTACTGGTGCAGGTGAGCCTATTCCTAGCACATCAGGAATAAAACATCCAGTGAAAAGAAAAGGAAAACCGGCAGGTAAGATTATTGTTGTTGTTTTACATACCTACCATTCCTTCTGCATTTTGGAAAAATATATTAAAATTCTGCACCTTCTTAGTCTGTTACAAAAAAAAGCTCATTAATTTTGGGAATATTTGCAAACCAAAAAACTGTTTTGGAGATATGTTGAGATTCTATAATTTTCTGCATGTCCCAACTAAAGATAAAAAAAACCTATAAGAAAAGGAACCATTCTATTCTTTAAATTGGAAATAAAAAATGAAAAACAAACATTTTACGCATTTGAAACTAGGTTAGCAATTGGTCCTAGAGAATGTTATTTTATTAGTTCCTTATATTATTGAATCAATTTTTACTGTACTCTTTAACTTTGTTAAAAAACTAGTTATTTAATTTTTTTCTATTTTTTTTTATTTCGTTTTACTTATTTTAAAAAAAAATCACACATTAAGGGGTCACAGTACCTAACAATTGACCTAAATATCGAATTTTTTTTATTGCCGATTTTAAAATTTCAAACGATTTCAAACATTGTGAAAAAAATTTCACCCTTCTATCTGCATTATATAAAAAGTTATGTGTTTTTATATTACGTAGTGTGCCAAAATTGATCAGCAGAAAGCTTGACAGTTGGTTTCGGTTTCCACATCTGTTGATCTAACCAACCAACTACCTTCTACAAAAATCTAGAAGATAAGCCTTTTTCTATTTCGATTTTGTCGTCAATTGATTATCAACTGCTCTCCTAGTTCCAACGATTTAAGCTCTGGTTTGTAAGAACGGTCGCTTTCGCTTGACGTGAGCGGTAACCTGTCGCCCTCTGACGACAACAAAAAAAGTGGTTTGTAAGCACAGCGGTAGTAGACGTTCAGGCGCAGATATTACTTCTCATTGCGCATGCGTCAATGACGTTTGGCATTGTTTATTTTGATTTTGTAGTCGTTGCATTAAATTTGCTGGAAAATGGATCACGCTGAAAAACAAATTATGACTCTATTAATTCAAGAGGAAGAGGAAGAAGCTAGAATTAGATTATTCTTTCAAAATAAAGAAGAGGATGAAATTTTTGTGAATCGTCCAACTGAAGGAACATTCGCTGTTCTGATTCAAAGACATTTAATGTTCAACGATGAAAAATTTCGGCAGTATTTTCGATTTTCAATTGAATTGCTTCAAGAACTATTTAATCTAATCGAAGGAAGCATTTCATACAGAGTGTGTAATAGAAGGCAGCAGCCAGTCTCCAAAAAAGAGAAATTGTGCCTGACTCTCAGGTAAGAGAAATTTTATTTTATTAGAAATTTAGTAAGTTGCTATGTATTGGAAAATGTATTAAGTTGTTATTTTATAACATGCATGAATTTCTGAGTGTTAATATCTATTTTATACGTTTTTAAATAGCATAGTTTGAAAGTGTTTTATTATATTTAAATTCTGCATGCATTCAAGAATTATTATTTGAAATGTTATTTAATGAATATGAAGTATAAAAGTTAATTTTGATATGAAGTATAATGAATAAATAAATAAACTAATATGAAGTATAAAAGTTAATTTTAGCTTATTTTAATATTTATAAATATCCATGTATTCAGCATTAGATCGATAGGTATTAACTTGTCTGAGAAGTAAAGGTGGCCCGTGCACTACATGGATTTTCATTCCTCTATTAATTTAAGGCTATGTGCATTTGAAACAATTACAATCTAACAAAAAAAACCTTTAAACTTGACAAAGACATCAAAAGATTGCTAAATAAATGATTTGATACTGAATAATAATTGCAAAATTCGTTCTCAGAACATCAAAGTTTTCACTACTGAATATTTTTTTTAATATAATTGAAAAATATTCATTTGCACATTATTTATCACACTCCATGTAAATTTTTTGTTGGAATTCTAGTCAGTATGTATTTTGTTTAAACAATCCAAACATTTGCCTTTATTTAAGTGACTTAATTTTCTCACTTTTTTTATTGGACTAAAAATATGTTTTCTTTTTAGATACCTAGCAACCGGAGAATCCTACCGTTCTTTGGCATTCAACTACAGAATTTGCCATAGTTGAATTGGCCGTATTATTGAAGAGGTTCTGGAAAGCACCATAAAAAGTGTAATGCCTTTGTTTTTGCCGCAGCCTTCTGAAGAGAAGTTTAAGGAAATAGAAAAGAACTTCTCAAAGATGTGGAACTTTCCTAATTGCTGTGGTGCAATTGATGGCAAGCACATTAGGATTGTTTGTCCGAAAAACAGCGGAAGTGCCTATTACTGTTATAAGGACTATTTTTCAACAGTTTTGTTGGCACTTGTTGATGCGAATTACTGTTTTATCACAGTAGATGTTGGTTCGTATGGAAAGGAAGGTGACAGTACAATTTTTCAAAGATCTAACCTAAACAAAAATCTTCAGTCAGGCACTATT